ATTACTGTCAGTTAGAAAAATGAAAATTATTTCCCCAACACTTTCAGTATTAATTTTTTAACTCATAAATTTAGACTGTGAGCATGATAATAATCTAACACTTAAAACCATCGAAGTATGTCCACGACAAAAAAAATTATTTTTACATACAGAATTGCGCTTTATATATTAGATATATGGTGAGGTAAAAAAAATTCCCCTTCGTGCGCAAAAAAAGATAGACAAAAACAAATTCCCTCCCCCCCCCCCCCCAAAAAAAAAGACACAAAAAATAACCGGCGAGATTTCCCGTTCCTAAATAAAGATGTTTTTTTTTTACGTCAAGTGTCTTTGATTAAAAATAAAAATTAGTAAACAGTACGTTCAGTGTATAAAATAAAAAAAAACAGTATTTAAAATACCTATCACATTGCTCTTGATCAATCCCCGCTAATCATTTAAATATTTGTTCCTAACACCAAAACAAAGTAATAAAAAGTAAATTCTTTTCCCCCGCTGTAATGATTTATATAAAGGGAAATAATTGTGTTTTCCTAATTTATCAAAGGGAAGTAAGTGCTAAAGGACTAAATATAAATAATTTTCAGACATAATTAGAATTTTCGTAAAAGATGATATTTTTTAAAAATTGTGTTTAATGAACATGCCGACAATTATTACTGTCAGTTAGAAAAATGAAAATTATTTCCCCAACACTTTCAGTATTAATTTTTTAACTCATAAATTTAGACTGTGAGCATGATAATAATCTAACACTTAAAACCATCGAAGTATGTCCACGACAAAAAAAATTATTTTTACATACAGAATTGCGCTTTATATATTAGATATATGGTGAGGTAAAAAAAATTCCCCTTCGTGCGCAAAAAAAGATAGACAAAAACAAATTCCCTCCCCCCCCCCCCAAAAAAAAAGACACAAAAAATAACCGGCGAGATTTCCCGTTCCTAAATAAAGATGTTTTTTTTTTACGTCAAGTGTCTTTGATTAAAAATAAAAATTAGTAAACAGTACGTTCAGTGTATAAAATAAAAAAAAACAGTATTTAAAATACCTATCACATTGCTCTTGATCAATCCCCGCTAATCATTTAAATATTTGTTCCTAACACCAAAACAAAGTAATAAAAAGTAAATTCTTTTCCCCCGCTGTAATGATTTATATAAAGGGAAATAATTGTGTTTTCCTAATTTTGCAAGGGATGTAATGAGCGCTAAAGTACTAAATGTAAATAATTTCCAGACACAGAAGTTTTGTGAACATTGATATATTTTTTCCTAAATTTGGCTTAATGAATATGCCGACAATAAATATTATAAGTTTGAAAAATGAGAATTGTTTTACATAACCTTGAATATATTTTTTTAAAATTATAAATTTAGGCCATGAGCAATTTAAACATTTTACACTTGACATTATAAAGTATTGTTTTTTCAATCCACGAAAAACGTATTATAAACATACAGAATTGAACTTTATATATTCGCTTCTCGGCCTTTTGGCTAAGATCAAAGTGTAGTATCTGTTATGGATTCTACATAAATCTTATTAATTTGGTTTGTCAGCCCTGTTTAGGGCTGGCTGCCGGGGTCGAGAGGCGGCGAAACCTACTACTCAACTCATCAAGCAATCAATTGCAAATCCCGCCATCGATCGCTGTGGGGTTGCGCCCACACATCCCTTGAAGTGCACATGCCCTCAAGATGAGTCACCTCGTACTTGTATTGGGTGGCTTCCAAATGTACGAGTGGCTAATTGTCTTTTTTTCAGCTTGACGACACCCACCTAGGAGAAATCTTAGGTGGGAGGTTCAGTCACAAATACCAGCAAATCAACTAACCATCTCTCAAAGATCAACAACTCAAACAACTTCACGAGTACTCAACTCTCATAAAATAAACACTCGTCAACAGCCTCACTTCGACCATTTCAACTACTCGACCAAGCTTTCGAATGCTCGACCACTCTCAAATTCTTCTCATTCACAATCCTCGACAGAAAGACACGGAAAATACGACAAGCACGGATTAAACTGTTTAAATATGTATACAATTTCTTGTATGTCTGTATATGCTCATGTAAACCTGCTCTTGCTGCCTACCCTTGCTCGATTGGGGAAGCAGCAAGAGAGGAACAATATTAAACCACACACAAAAATATACCTTATATATTCGATATATATATATATATATATATATATATATATATATATATATATATATATATATATATATATATATATATATATATATATATATTAAGGTCCCAATTTTTTTTATTTTTTTTTTGCGGGAGGCCCTTTTTTAAAATCCGCCACTGGGTGACACCCGACCTAGCGACGCCGCTGGGTCTAGTAACACAAGTCTAAAGAAACATTCATGCTGTGTTGGGTTCTTCAGTCTAGGGCAGGGGTCGGCAACCTTTTGAGACGGAAGAGCCAAAAGTTACAATTTACAAAGTTTTCCAGTTTTAAAAGAGCCACTAACATTTTTATTTCAATGTTAGGATATTTAATTAGGATTACGTGAATAAGTTTGATTTTTTATTTAAAATAAATAGCTTTACATTTGAAATAATATTTATTCATATAAAAACGTACAAATGGTTCGCACAAAACATTAAATTATTTTAACTAGCTGTTCTATGATAAAATTAGTAATCAAATAATTTATCTATAGGAATATCCCTACCCACGTTAGAAGATAATAACTAAACAAAAACTACGTCACTCAGGTCAAATTAATGCATACTAACAGATAGAAATTCAGTATAAATGAAATAACATTCCCCATTTAACGAAATTCGAAAAAGTCGGCACTTGGGCAGTGGTAAGCATGGAAATGTTGCCACAGGGCTGTCCACAGCACTGCCACGGCTGTCTGTATACCTTCTGCCTCACCTATTCTCTCTGTTCTCTTATGAGTTTTTTTTATTCCTGTTTAATGTTGTTGTTTTTTTCAGTACAATATATATGTTTTTAATAATTTTAGAAAATAAAATAATTATTAATGTCCGTGCATGGATCTTAAGGGCCGCATCTTGACATCGAAAGAGACGCATGCGGCTCGCGAGCCGCAGGTTGCCGACCCCTGGTCTGGGAATTCGGGACACCACAGCGTATAGCGTACAATACAACAGAAGAGATAACACTAACGTTGATACTAAATAATACAAACAAGTTTAATAAATCTATACATATACATGAATAATACAACTATAATATAATTAATAAAAGGTTTTCGACACAAATTACAACACATTTAACACACTAAACGTCATCCACCAAAGCCAACACGCCAACTGCCACACACCCTAACACACGCTCTGTCACCCGTCAACTGACACACCTCACTTGAACACCTCTCGTTCTATGTGAACACACTCAACCAAGGGCTACAACTACATACAAAAAGAGGGTACCTTTCATTCGGGCACACAACACACACAATCAGTGGACGCTACATGTAAGGGACGTAAAATTCTGCAGTTAAATAGTTTTAATTTTTTTTCAATGAACCACAATCAACTTTTTAATGGACATCAGACTAAAAAACTGATTACTAGATGTACGGTTTAGACATTTTATTAATTAAACAAACACAACTTGTTTAAAATAGTTAACATATTTTAGTTTACATCGAGAAATCACTTGGGTAAACAATGAATTAGTCACCGAAAAATGTTTTTTCTAAAACTGAGTAATTTTAATTAAACAGCTCTATTAAAAATTCTTACAGTAGATTTTATAATTATTTTGCATTTCTGACTTTATTTAGATTCAGATCTAGAAGAACACAGTGTGTTACATAGCTTAGGAACTGGGAACCGAAGTCGTTGAGTTTAATAGCCTTGTGATCCACCATTCGACCCCTCCGTTCCTCCAAAAATTAAGAAAAAAAATACGTGAAGTGACAAAACTTGATAAAACGTTTTTAGTAATGTGCAAGTAACTATCTGATCAAGTAATTAGCCGTGTAAGAAGTAATTAAAGTTTCCTTTTCTAACCTGGCTGTCTATTGTTTAAATGAATTAGAGTTCACCTGTTTCTGTAAATTCGACCTATGAAGAAATAGCGTGGTCAGCACTATGTGTTGCCGCCTTTACTTTCCCTAACATGAGTTAGGTACTCATTAGAGCTGGGTGGACTCAATGATGTTCTTCTAACTTTAACTCGGATTCGTAATTAAGAATTTTGGATTAGCGCTGTACCATTAGTCCGATCCGACCCATCAGCCATATACAACTGACGGTCGTTATGACGGTGATTTCCTGCACGTCACCAGCGACATGACGGCACGACGAATAGACCTGTTGCTACAGTAGAGTACTGGGTTCAGGGCTGAACTGATGTACGACATCAAACTAACGGTCCAGAACACCCAGCTAGGGATCAGAATGTCGCTAGAGGTTAGGATGGACACGGTGCAGACAGACGGCGACCAGCTGATGGTGAAACACAACAACACGTAGCCGATTGTTCGGAATGCTCGGAAGTTTCGCTTGGCCGAGACAGCGGCCTTGGGGCGTAAGTTGATTGTGGGTGTGGCATCAGGGTGTGGTGTGTGTGAGTAGATTGTGTGTGTGGCATCAGGGTGTGGTGTGTGTGAGTAGATTGTGGGTGTGACGTCAGGAAATGGTGTGTGTGAGTAGATTGCCGGTGTGACGTCACAACCTGGTGTGTGTTCCCTACTTATAAGAGTGCTATCAGAATTAAATATCTGCCTGCTGCACGTTAATACAAAAATTGAATCCGCTTCACAATTGACAGTGGAGGTTGAGGCATGTTGGACATGGTCTGAATCACACCGCTCCTTCAAGGCTACATTGTTGACGTTACTAGTAACTTCATCTTGTTTCTTGACGTTATTAGTGACTTGAGCCCTTCCACCATTGTCCATAACATTTTCCACTGTATTTCTATCTTGAAAATGTCCACCACTTCCACCATCCACTGCTGTACATAATCCACACAATCCTCTAAACGTTTTTCGAACCATTCCTCAAAGGTTTCCACCACCGGGATTCAAGTTCTTATCTGTGTAGATTCTCTCGTTTGATTTTTCGTTCAAATTTTTAGCAAATCTCTCCTTCCGTTTGTGGAACTTTTGAATTTTCCACAGCACAATGACATACATGACGTAGGTGGCAGAAAATGACACGTAATACACAATAGTAGAGAACACTACCTGTACAAGTTCTTTAAACGGGGCTCCGCAGTGGAAATTATAAATATAACATTGTTGGCTGTCGGTGTTAAAATCCCACACGATCATAGCAGGTATAAACATAAACACAAGGGGAACACCCCACGATAAAGATATCATGACGTACCCAGTTGTCTTTGAGAGTTGCCGGTACAGCAGGGATCTACACACGGCCACAAGTCGGTCTAAGGCCATTGAGAAAATATGCAGCACAGACACCGCACACAACACATTGTTCATGTTGACCCTCAACGCACACAGCACACTGCCGAACTTCAACTTCCCCCTGTTCAACAGCTCTGCCGACTCCAGCGGCATTATCGTCGCCCCCAGCATCAGGTCAGAGAACGCCAATGACGTCATTAACAGCTTGGTCAAGCAGCTGTTGTTGTTGTTCCTGGAGTCCGGTGGGTTCGAACCTCGACGTTTTGAGTGGATCAGCGCGGTGATGACGATCAGGTTAGCTGCCACAGTGAACGTTGCTATGGCAACACAGAAAGCTGTTAGCGAGGTGTACACCTCTGTCATATGAGAACCCTGAACCTCCAGGGCGAGATACTCACTGAAGTTGAGACAATCGAAGGTAGACATTTCTGTTATCTGACAAGATTTAAAATTATGTCCTTTCGCAACTCTTATTCATAAAATCTTTTCAATACAGATTTTAAAGTTGTTGTCAAATCTCTATAAATTAAAAAAAAAACTAATTAAAAGCGTCTGTCATTGCGCGAATCTTTAATTATGATATGCCACATGTCTAGAACTCACATTAGTTGATAACACTCAGTTAAAATCAAAACACGATTACAGAATCCAACGACACAGATGTATTTCAAAGTGCTAAAGCAAACCTTAGTTCTAAACTCTTTATGTTGAATACAGTTCAATGGCGCACCTGATTTTAATCGCTGACTTTGTTTGACGTTTGTTCAGACAATTAGCCCTTTACCATAGAAACAAAACACACGAACAAAACATTTTTAACACGGCGTCTAGTGCCAGATACAATGGCAGTAGTTGAAAGCATGACAAAACAGGTGGTCACATGACCAATCAGGTGTTCACGTGACCAGCCAAACGATCAAATCGCGTCTGATTCTGGTTAAAAAAAATCTTTCAGTTCAAGACCATACTATCCCAACATGGGAGAACTTTGGAAAATATAGAACTGAGTTACAGACCCCTACATGGTCTACAACTCTCTACCCCCCCCCCACCCCCACCCCCCACTCCATCATTTTGTGAACCAGTATGTCTTGATCCACCACAATAAAATAACACAGCTGACCAATTCAAATATCCTTACTTTTAAGGTCAATTTTATTTTTAGAAATAAGTTTGTCCTATGATTTAAATAAACAGATTTCTCTAACTAAACATGAGACCTTTACAGGCCTTTGTAGGGCTACAATCATTTGCTGATTCATTTAAAAATAAACCGGGAGTGATCTCCCCTAAACTTTCTCGAATATTCTTATATAAAACAACCGGGGATGGGAACTCGGGATAAAGTTATTTTTTTTAATCCATTTTAAATACTTAAACTTTTAAAAATAGAATAGAATCTCATAGAAAAAAGAATTGCGCACCAAGCGAACGCCAAATAAAGATGTTCAATATTATTAGTACTTTATAAATTCACATGCGTTTTTTTGAGAAATCGAAAATAGCGTAAATTACTACTTCCGGTCAACGGAAATTACTCAAAATTTGACAGAAGGTAGAAAATTAGATATTTTACTTACATGTGAAATTTCATTTATCTATCTGAAATAGTACTCAAGTTATAGGCTTTTGAAAAATTCAAAGTAGAAAAAGTTCCACTTCCGGTTATCTGAAATCGCTCAAAAGTTGATACGGATCTACGACTTTGATAAAATACTTATATATGAAATTTTATCAACCTAGCTGTAACGGTACTCAAGTTATCGTGTATACACACACACAGACACACACACACACAGACATACGGACAAGATTGCAAAATTATGTTTTTCCGTATCAGTGAGGTGTAAAACGTCGAGATTTCCAAAAATCTCGTTTATTATTTTTTTGCACGATTACAAGACTTTCTCTATACTTCGTATAAACTAGATAGTAAATAAACTGGGAGTGATCTCCCCTAAACTTTTTCGAATATTCAACTATAAAACTACGAGGGATGACAACTCAGGACATAGACAATATTAATTGTAATCCATTTTTAATTACTTAAACTTTTTATAATAGAATGGAATCTCGTAAAAAAAAAAGAATTGCACACCAAGTGAACGCCTAATAAAATGTGCATAATAGTGCGCAATATTATTAGTACTTTATAAATTCACATGCGTTTTTTGAGAAATCGGAAATAGCGTAAATTAAAACTTCCGGTCAACAGAAATCACTCAAAATTTGACAGAAGGTAGAGAATTAGATTTTTTACTTACATGTGAAATGTCATGAATCTATCTGAAATAGTACTCAAGTTATAGGCTTTTGGACAATTCAAAGTAGAAAAAGTACCACTTCCGGTTATCGGAAATCGCTCAAAAGTTGATACGGATCTACGACTTTGATAAAATACTTATATATGAAATTTCATCAACCTAGCTGTTACGGTACTCAAGTAATCGTGTTTACATACATACAGACACACACACAGACACACACACACACACAGACAGACACCCAGACATACGGACAAGATTGCAAAATTATGTTTTTCCGTATCAGTGAGGTGTAAAACGTCGAGATTTGTAAAAATCTCGATTTTTTTTTTTGCACGATTAGAATACTTTCTCTATACTTCGTATATACGAGAAAGTAAAAATTACATTAATGATGTCAGCAATTTTTCACTTGCTGATTATGGTGAATTTTAACAATTGTTTAAGCCGCGTTATTGACCTGTAGTAAACACACTGACCATCAAATTGTTTGGTGTGTAAACAGCAGGTTATCGCTAGCTAATTATTCATAATTATCGATATTATTTTCATCACATGCAATTATCGTCATATTCAGCTTCAAACGAAATGAAATGTAAAATATAGCTTTAAAGCACACGATAAGGTTAAATGTATCTAACAATCAAACCTTTGTTTAAACACTCTGCGTCGCTTTTTCTCATGACTCTTTATTTCAGACTAGCTCTAATGGCAATCCAAACGCAAAACCGACTACTATTTACAAATTTTATTAAATATGCGACATGTACTTCCAGTGTAATTTGCATCAAACGAGTATTATTTAGTTTTAAGGATAATTTAGAACTTTTAAGGATAGTGTGTTAATATGTATTGTAGTGTATTTGGTTGTTTTGTTATGTTTTTTAGTCATGGTTCTGTATTAAATTTTGTGTTAGAATATAAAAAGTTTGCTATATCTGAAATTATCATAAGAACATTCGACTTTATAATTGTGGTTGCAGTAAAATCTATTTAAAAAAACATAAAAAAAAAATTCATAAAAAACGTTTTAATAACAAGCTTTTATGTAATGATGCACTAAAAAGTAGAAAATAAATTATAGACTACTATTTAAATAACTATAAAGAAAAGCGTGGGTCACTTTAGTATCTATTGGATACCTTTACTAATGTTAAGGAAGACACCCACGCTTTTCTTTATAGTTATTTAAATAGTAGTCTATAATTTATTTTCTACTTTTTAGTGCATCATTACATAAAAGCTTGTTATTAAAACGTTTTTTATGAATTTTTTTTTTTCAGTACTTTACATGTTTTATTTACAATAGAGTTACATGACTAAAAACCATTGCGCGCCTACTGAACATCACGTTCAGTAGGCGCGCAATGGTTTTTGAACGCAGCCATTGAAGCTATTGAAGGTGATGACGCGTGTGGTGTGGTTGGCTAGACATGCCTACTAATTCGGTCCAAATTTTAATTAATTCATAAAAAATTAATTAGGCATCCAATTAAGTCAAATTTAGTTTCAGATTGCATTGTCTTCATGTCTTGACCCACGTGCTAACTTTGAATCGTATCGGTCAAGTAGAACTGTCCGAATTTTCACTCCTGCGTTTCCGTCTAGACTGACGACTGACGACTGACGACAGAGGAAGTGAGTTAAATAAAAGCTTGTAAAAATGATGCATGCCAAAACAAGTTTCATAAAAAATTACCTCTAGATATGCGCACCACTAAATAAAGAAACGTGAACACAGTCCTGCACACAATGTGAGTGATGCTGACTACAATCATTACACACCAACTTGAGTTGATCTTTGAAGTTCTGCTATATTTTATAGTTCAGTTCGACAAGCATTTCGAAAATCACCATATCCACGTAGGTGATTTTAATTCATTTGTTTTAACAAATTATGAGTGTTTGATGTTTATTCGTTTTTATCTAGGTCTTTACTGATCAATGTCTAGGCCTAGACTCTACATCTAGATTGTATACACCAAACTGAAAATGAAGGTACGTAGGCCTATTTAGCTTGATTTAAAATCTGCACAGATCTCTGTCAAATCAATACGTAACTTGTTTAATGACCTTCGGCTTTGACTGATTTGTAAGAGTTGCCTTAGTGCAGAGGTTTAGTGGGTTGTTTTGTAGATTTGATGGGGTAGAACTGTTAGTGTTTAGGTGTTATTGGATAAAATGGATGTTCTAGTGTGTATGCTCAATGCTGATAATTTGATGATAAATTGTATGTATTTTAACGATCTCAGAAAAGATCTTAGCAAGTATATGTTACTGGTATTGCTAATCTATCCTTGGTCGAGACACCAAACTTTACATAATTCCTGGTTTTTAGCTTTTTTAACGACCATACAATTTGGAAGAAACAGCAGTGCACTGAAGAATCAACATCGGTACTATGTTATCCTGAAGAACTAGCTTAGGTACTATATTATCTTGAATAAACATCATATGTACTATATGATCCTGAATGAAAAAACATAGGTACTATACTTTCCAGGAAACAATATGGGTACTATATTTTCGGAAGAATACAACAAATGTGGTAGTATATTACCCTAACGAAATAACTTAGATACTATATTATCATGAAGAAACAATATAGGTTCTAATACTATATCATCCTGAAAAAGAAACAAAACCCATGTTGATAACTTTGATAGCTAACCTCCAGTCTTATATTAGGTCTCCTAGGTCACGTGTCAATCACCAACATCATGCTGTATCTTGTAAAGGCAGCTCCACCACCACAAATGACCAACTAAAACTCTGATGACAATTCTGGAACCATCATGTTGGACAGGTCAGTGTCCTGCTCGTACTAAAATGTTCCTTGAGAATTTTATACATTTTTTTTTGTTTTTACAGAGCCATTTTATAAAATCTGTAAACCATTGGTGGCTGGCAGTCAATTGTTTCAGCCCTGATAGTTAACCTGTTGAAGCTACATAACTCTTTTCTCAATAGCAACTTCATTAATGAGAGCCGAAATCAATTAATTAAAGAAATCATTTAATTAAAGAAACTCTTAAGTCTGCCGGGCCACCGTTTGTCTCCAACTATTGTTTCGTCTCACATAATTATTGTAACTTCCACGTTACGTACTGCCGTTCTTTTAGAAATATCGTTTCAAGAACTACAACATAAAATTATAGATCTGTCAAGTAAGAGAAAAGTAATCGATTTACATGAGCAGATTATTTAATATATCAAGTTCGCTATTGGCGTTCCGAATACATTCACGAATAATATTTTTTCGTTAAAAGTGATCAATTAACATTCTTTAAAAATCTTATATACCATTCGCGAATAATTCAATATATAAAGTTCTTAATACATCTTGAAGATGGTCATGGTTAATTAATTTAAACAAAATTATGATAGGTTCTGTAGAATCATAGGCCCTACAGTTTTTATTTTTTAGGTTATGGTTTTATTTGTCTTCCTTGTTTTTCTATTGATAAAGGTCTACCGTTAAGTTGATCAAGTCCGTTATAAGGAAAATGGCCTTCGTGACGATTGTGGTTGGGGTGTGTGCATTAATGCTGGTATTGCACTTAGCTGCACTCGACGTCGGCAGACGAGAGGATTGGGGGAGGCAGAAGGCGGGAAACTATTTCAAGATGAGGCGCAACTATAAAGGAGCTTTAGGTAGGGTGGATTGTAGGAATAGTGGATTGTAGGTGTGGTGGATTGGTTGTAGGTGTGGTGGATTGGTTGTAGGTGTGGTGGATTGGTTGTAGGTGTGGTGGATTGGTTGTAGTTATGATGGATTGTTTGTAGGCGTGGTGGATTGTTTGTAGGTATGGTGGATTGTTTGTATGTGTGGTGGATTGGTTGTAGGTGTGGTGGATTGTTTGTAGGCGTGGTGGATTGTTTGTATGCGTGGTGGATTGTTTGTAGGTGTGGTGGATTGGTTGTAGTTATGATGGATTGTTTGTAGGTATGGTGGATTGTTTGTAGTTGTGGTGGATTGTTTGTAGGTGTGGTGGATTGGTTGTAGTTATGATGGATTGTTTGTAGGTGTGGTGGATTGGTTGTAGTTATGATGGATTGTTTGTAGGTGTGGTGGATTGTTTGTAGGCGTGGTGGATTGGTTGTATGTGTGGTGGATTGTTTGTAGGCGTGGTGGATTATTTGTAGGTGTGGTGGATTGTTTGTAGGTGTGGTGGATTGTTTGTAAGTGTAGTGGAATGTTTTTATGTATAGTGGATTGTTTGTAGGTGTGGTGGATTGTTTGTAGGCGTGGTGGATTGTTTGTATGTGTGGTGGATTGTTTGTAGGCGTGGTGGATTGTTTGTATGTGTGGTGGATTGTTTGTAGGCGTGGTGGATTGTTTGTAGGCGTGGTGGATTGTTTGTAGGTGTGGTGGATTGTTTGTAGGCGTGGTGGATTGTTTGTAGGTGTGGTGGATTCTCTGCAGGCTGTCACCCGTGTTAGCTCTATTTAATCCTTTAGCCGTTTAATTAAAAAAAATTAGTTTTCGTTTTTCCCAAATATTACCTGTTAACAATTTTAAGCAATGCAACCTGCTATTAAATGTGAATCTACATATATAAACAACCAGTCAATTTAAATTCACAACAGTAACCTTTACCATGGCGAGTAGATTTGCATTTAAAAACATGGTTTTATTTAATGTTTCGGCAAAAGCGAAAAATCAATGCTCAGTTAAAATACAGTTACATTTAGAAAGTCAATGATTAAAAGTGGATTTTTATAAGTTTTTGATTAAAAATTCATCTTATGTGTTCAAATGCTTAGTCCCGATATAAGTCTTTATTGAAATCTAGTAACTGCATGAAGAAAAGATAAAAGCTGTTTACGTTAAATTAAAAACCAAAATGTTTCCAAAACATCCTATTTATAACTTTAGTTCTGGAAATCCTGTCACCCAGTGATTAATCAAGTTAATTGTTTTAATTTCAGAGCTGCTGATCAACTATAGTACAAGGTTTGGGGACGGGACAGTGAGGGCGTCCCCTGACAAGATCCACTCGGTACAGTTATGGTATGAGGCGGCCGCCATGATTAAATGGCAAGTTTTTCAGTTGAAACTTGACAGTAATGTTAGATGGCAAGTGTTTCAGTTGAGACTTGACAGTAATGTTAATTGGCCTAATTACAGTTGTGGTTTGAGGCGACAGCCATGATTAGATGGCAAGTTTTTCTGTTGAAACTTGACAGTAATGTTAATTGGCCTAGTTACAGCTGTTAGTGTCAAAAACTAATTATTGAATATAGTTATGTTATACTTTTTGCGTTATCAATACAAATAAATGTTGTATATATTGCCTCTATCTATAATATATACGTTTCTGCACCAATTTTGATTTATATATTCATGCATTAATATATATATATATATATATATATATATATATATATATATATATATATATATATATATATATATTATAATCCGATGTTGCATGTATTGCCATGGTAGGTACATTAGCCCAACTGAAGACGAATATTTATGCAAGATTTTGGGTAATTTCGACAACTGGGTGTTTTGTAAAGACAAGAATTTGGAAATAAAAGCGCCCTGTCTTGTGTATTCATTTGGGTAAGTTTTTGTATTTGTCCTTGTGATGAATAATGTCTAACGCTCACGGGCTGGGAATACAATTGGGTATAAAATTATGAACAAACTAATGCTAACAATGCAGTATGCATTTACCTAAACATGATTTTTAGTTTTAGTTTGGTACATGTTTTGTGCTAAGGTAAAAATTGTATACTGAAAAAGGTATTGAATTCAACTTTATCGCTGCAGTTATTTTGATGGCCGATCTGAACTTTAGTTCTAGCTTTGAGATACGTACGGATACAATGTAACAATGTTCAACAATGTAACATTCCGTGTGATTTCAGGGTACGAAATAATTTCCAGTTTGAAGACAGTTTTGGAAGGTTGGGATGTGATGTGAGATCTTTTGACCCCAGGTATCGTTAGTGTTTGTCAAATGTTGGTTATGTGTGATTGATTTGTGTTATTATGTGTGATTGATTTGAGTTGTTATATGTCATTGATTTGTGTTAGTATGTGTCATTGATTTGTGTTGTTATGTGTCATTGATTTGTGCTGGTCACGTTTTGGCTATAATACTAAAATAATATAATTTGTTCAGGCAAGACTCTTTGTTACGACTACCATCCTACTTTGATCTGTCCCCAGCACAAATATGACGGACCACACCCACAACAAGACCGTGAAGTTCTACGACCTGGGGGTGGGGCCACTGAACACCAACGTCTTCATGCCGACCAGAAGAGGAGCAGGCGTGAATCAGACGGACAAGGGGGACGGGCCGTGGAAGTTGAGAACCTTAAAGTCAATCATGGAGATGCTAAGGCAACAGAATGTAAGTGCACAATGGATGATAACTTATAATCTTATTTTGTTTTATGGACATTTACATAGTTGTCTTAGAACTCAGAGAAGTATGGAAGTTCCCAATGTATTTCATCGGAGTATGACGTTTGTATTTTATTGTTAGCTGTACAGGCTAGTTCGTCGTTCGTCGTTAAAAACTGAGTAATGTTCTACACTTGACTAAATTGTTTTAATTGTGTAGTAAACATTAGTGAGACTTAAAATATTTTTACGCAGTTTAATACTAATTATAGTTACTAAGTTGCAAGGCTTGATGTATAGTTCCAAAGATTTCATTATTTGGGTAGTGATTAGAGCTCTAGACATAAACAAAACTACAGGGTATGCTAATCACCCAACACCACAAGACTACACATAGCTAGAGATATAACAACTTAATATATTACTGATTGGGGCGAGAGGGTGTGGGCAGGGCGAGTGGGAGGGGTTTGTCTGTCAGTAAGGATTAATACTGGTATGCTTTTTGTCACAGCAGTTAGTTCTAAACATGTTGAAGATTTGACGAACATTACTTAAAATCATCCGGTATTTTCCAAAACATTATTGACGTGTTGAAAATTGTGACGAACATTGCTTAAAACTAAAATCCTCCTGTATTTTCCAGAAAATTCTGGACGTGGTGAAAATTGACATCAAGTCCAACCTGTGGGTGGTGCTAGACAACATCCTGGAGACAGGGGCGTGGCGCCAGATTCGTCACCTGCTGCTGGGGTTCAACCTCTACCCCACCCACCCACACAAAGAGGATTACGTCATCTTTTACAGGGTAACGCATCTCACCAATCGATTTTTTTTTTTCAATCATATCACACTCTCCCCAACATCATCTCATTTCATTTCTCTGTTAAAGTCTCTCCTTTCCCCACTCTCTCCTAATGTTAATACCAATCTCTCATTACTTGAACTTTCCTTTCATTCCATTACTCTCTTCGTTTCCTTCTCTCCCTTTCTCTCTCCATCATATTCCCTCACTAACACGTAACCTGCCTCTAGCTAATTCTAAAGTCACCTGTCAGATACTCTTTTACCAAAGAAAACAATATTAAATGAGTTGTGTTGGACTGGGGACAGGAAGTGACGTAACTACAACTACATGACATACATGAGAGCTTAACTCGCGCCTTCACCCTAAAATATAGCTTTTAGATGTGTCTCCATTAGGGGTCATCCATAAATTACGTCACGCTTTTTTTTTACGATTTTTACCTCCCCCCCCCCTTCCTCCGTCACACGTCATCACAAAAAGCCAGACCCCCCCCCCTAAAATGACATCACACCTCAGCCTACCACCCCCCTCAAAATTGCTGTTGAATATTGCTTAAAACATCGATATTTTGATCAATTCCTATTACAATTATTAAAAACGCTATCTAAAACGCGAAATAACGGCTAAAACTCGTTTTCTAACATTGCTTTTTTATAATGCAAAAAAGTGACGCCACACCATCTTAACCCCCCCCTCCCCCTCATCACACACCGTCACAAAATTACGGACCCCTCCCCTCACCCCTACGAGTGTGACGACATTTATGGACGATTCCTTACCGTGAGATTTTAATATTTTGTTAGTTCCTGTAACAGTAAATCATCTCTCTATGTCTATGTCTATATCTGTGCGAAAGTGTCTATACCGCCACAGTACCTATTTTATTTACCTCTCAACCCGTAGCACAGTGTAATTTGAGAATCTTCTCCCCACTTCTAGACATTAACCAAGCTACGAGAACGTGGCTTCGTTGAATACTTTGGTCAAACCGATGACGCACTGTCCACACAAGGCGACCATTTCACCGTCAAAGGTCGTACGTCGTTCTACAACTTCAACTTGCTGCTGGGGGATTGAGGCTTGACGCTGGTGTGGCTGAGGAAGTGTGGCTATGTGGTTGTTTTTTTGTGGATGTTGTGATGGCTGAGGAAGTGTGGCTATGTGGTTGTTATTTGTGTGGATGTTGTGATGGCTGAGGAAGTGTGGCTATGTGGTTGTTATTTGTGTGGATGTTGTGATGGCTGAGGAAGTGTGGCTATAGGGTTGTTATTTGTGTGGATGTTGTGATGGCTGGGGAAGAATGGTTATGTGGTTGTAATTTGTGTGGATGTTGTTATGGTTGAGAACGTGTGGCTATGTGGTTGTTTGTGTGGATGTGGTTATGGTTTAGGAAATGTGGTTATGTGGTTGTTATTTGTGTGATCGTAGCAGAGCAAGTGTGTTAGCTTTGGTTAAGTTGTAAGATTTATTTAGTTAGGTTGTAGATAATGTTTTGCTAACTGTGCAATGTTTTCATTGCATGTGAGTAACGGTGGAACAAAGTATAGGCGAATAAAATTAAAATTGTTGCCATTTCTTTGAGACGAGTCTAATCTGTCTGTGGCTGGATTGTGTTGTGCTGTTTGGATGTAGAGAAGTTTATTTTTTAATTTTTTTGGCTGCAGGTTTGTCTGTTTGTCTGTTGTTCTGCTCGTAGTTGATAGAATTTATTTAAAAATATCCAATATTTGTTGATTTGAAAGATTTCTTATTCTTAAATAACATTTATGTCTTTATTAGATTGTACAATAAATTCCATAATTGTGTTTTGTTGTAATTATATGACAAGCTTCTACATTTACGTAATTCAATAAATATGTATAAAAATTCAAAGTGCCTTTCTAATTTTTAAATTTTTTAAAATTCTACAAAACAATTTAAAAATTACCTTACGTCTTAGACACTTTTTTTTACACATTTCTATTCATCTTCTTTCCATTTCAAATTAAGATACAATAACTACTCTACCTAAGCACAAATATTGTCTATCAACTGACTGATATTGAGAATTTTGGTAGTAAAATACAAACAAGCAGGGATTCAAATTATCAACTTGATGAGTTGTAGTTAAGATGTAACGGCAGGGTTGCTGTTTAAATTAGGCATACTTTCAGATCTGCTCAAATCGTAGAGTATATTGTTTTGATTTACATCTGAATTCTTAAAAATAAACTTGTAGTTTTCATTCACATTTGACATTTTGATTGCCACGACCCATATTCATTGACACGTCCCATGTTGATTTACACATTCCTATTTGATTTTCACGTCACATTTAGATTTAAGCGTCGTATTTTTTATTTACACATTACATTATGATTTACACTTTCCCTTTCCATTTACACCTTACGTTTACACCAGAACAGGGACCTAACGGCCTTTCTGACGGACCTGTTGAAGCAGTAGAGCAGCGGGTTGACGGTGGAGTTAAGGTAGGAGAACCAGTTGCAGAAGATAGTCAACCAGAAGGGTGTGCTGAGGTTGGTGGTCATGAACCCCAGCACCAGAACCCAGGCCGGCGTCCAGCAGACGGTGAAGCAGACGAGAACTATCCCGATAGTCCTGTAGGCTTTCATGTTCTTGGTCAGATTCGAACCTGAGTTGGTGGTGCTGGAGGTCGACCCTGACGCTGTGGATATTGTCTGGATTTGGGTGATGGATACGGTTGAGATTTCTTCTTCAGATTGTCTTATATCTGGAGTCGATGATCGATTAGAAATCGATTGATTGACTCTAAATCTTGAAGATTGTATAGAAAACTTGATATTCCTTGTGTCAGCTCTTCTTTTGGGCTGCTTCATTCGTGTATAGATCGACCTGAGGATTAGACAGTACAAGACGTAGACTATAATAAAAGGAATGAAGAAAATACAGGCAAAACCGACGATAAAGACAGGCTTGAAGAGGAAACTTCCGCAGAGCTGGTGGGCTTGCAGACAAACGTTCAGTTCGTCCAGTTCCTGGGATGTCCAGGAGAAGATCAACAAAGCTGGCACCGCCCAGGTCAGCGCGACCAGAAGGTACCCGGTTTTTATCGTCAGGAGCCGGTGCTTGAGCGGCAGGCAGATGGCCAGGTAGCGGTCAAGTGCCAGAGACAGGATGTGGAAGCTGGACACGCTGCACAGGAAGTTGTCGATGACGTACCGGAACTTGCACCAGCCAGGTCCGATAACCCACCTGCCGTTGTTCCGGACCTCGATCACACACAGCGGCATCAGGAAAAGCCCTAGCACGGTGTCTGATGAGGCCAGTGACACCATCAGCAGCTTGTTGATACAGTTGTTGGTGGCTGGTCCGAAGCTCTGGCGAGAACGGTCGAGCAGCATCTGTTTGACCATAGCCACCACGACCACCACGTTGAACACGACCGTCAAAACGTCGATCAGGATAAACCCGGCTGTTGTGGTGTAAAGTATGTCCACGTTGTCGGTCAGCCGGTGATCCAAATCGGGGACGCTCACATGAAAACATTCTGTAAAATTCGCCATTTTGTATTCCACGATCCCGCTTAATTTGTATCACAGAATATTTTAAAATGAAATGTTTTATTCAAAATCCAACGAATCGATATTGATCATTAATCCAGTAATTTAGTGAAAAGTATTCACACACAACCTTTAATCACCCAACAAAATTTAACAGCAGGATCAAACACAGCACAGGCCAATGACTAAGCCAGCCGAGGAGCTCGCTCGTGTTCACCAGTCACGTGATTATCACAACTCGGCAACACATTTTTATCAATAAAGGGAAGGAACTATGTAAAACTATGTGTTGTGATTAATTGAGTTATGTCCCCCGGTTTGATACAATGTAAGGTAAAATCTTAGTTTAGCGTCGTAAATTCGGCCATAACTAGTAATGTGGGAGAGAGTGAATTAATGAATATGTCATTAAATCATTAAATATGAGTATATTTTCGTATATTTTGATAAAATATTATAAATAATTGAATAATAGATCACCATTTATGGTTAAATCAATTTAAATATCCTGAAATTAATTTTTATCAACCCTGTTCGAGATAGTAAATTTGCTATTAAAAAAGCAGCCATCTTAAGAAAAATGTTATTTAGAGTAGCTTCCCTTTCATTTCTATTCGTATGAAAATGTATTTAAATATGATTGTCTTGTTGTATAGTCCGTATTACAAAGCATTTTTTTTTAAAATTCTGCTCTTTAAAAACTAAATCTCCTAACAAACAACTTTATTAATTCTAGAAGCATTGTGAGATGCAACTTGTAACCATGTTTTAAATCACGTTTTTTTTTTACTAATGTTTATTTGATCTTACTATTACTATATAGTTTTTAGCGCAATTTCCATTCTGGAGAATTGCGTTTATTAACTCGTCATTTCTGGGAATGGATGGATGAATGTATGGATGTGTGTCCGCAGCTTTAAGTCGTATCTCCTCCTCAACGAAGCAATATCGATGACTAGTTACAAAAACAATTATGTTAAGCAAGTTACGAGGATGAACATAGGCCATAAAAATTCCGGGTTTCTTTCATGTATTTCCCGGAAAAGCCAAAAAACCTCGGAAAAATTCAGTTTTTGGCCCATATCTCGGCAACCAGACCACTTAGCGACTTGAAACATGCACCAATCGATTCCTGCTATAATTTAGAACAATATTGCCGAAGAAAGTTTTCAAAAATATCCTTTCGTTTGGTCAAAAAAAAAAATTTAATTAATTAAAATTTGGAACGAATTAGTAGGCATTTTATGCAACCACACCACACGCGTCATCACGTTCAATATCTGCGACATCACGCTCGGTAGCTAGGCGCGCAATGGTTTTTAGTCAAGTTACTCTATTGTAAATAAAACATGTAAAATACTGAAAAAAAATTTAATAAAAAACGTTTTAATAACTAACCAATGGTTTTACTAACCCTGCTGTTGATTTACGCTACGACAGAGCTATTTTTAGATAACGTAAGGAAATTGCGCTAAAATTGTCACTAGACTTTTTTTTAATTACTTGTTTCTTATTGTTTGAATGTTCACTATTTTCATTGCAGGTTTTTTTTTAGTGATTCTATCGTAACTTATGACATTTTTTTTACTTCTCTTTACCTTAATTAAACCCCAACCTCCGTCATATTTTTGTTGTCAATTTCACAACCAGTCATAAGGGGTCATCCATAAATGACGTCACACTCGTAGGGGGGGTGTCCGTAATTTTGTGACGATGTGTGATGAGGGGGAGGGGTTCAGATGTTGCGACGTCACATTTTTGCATTATAAAAAAGCAATGTTAGAAAACGAATTTTAGACGTTATTTCGCGTTTTAGATAACTGTTTTAATAAATTGTAATAATTTAGACAAGATTTTGGAAAAATATCGATGTTTTAAAAACATTCAACTGCAATTTTGAGGGGGGTTGTAGGTTGAGGTGTGGCGTCATTTTAGGGGGGGGGTCTGGCTTTTTGTGACGACGTGTGACGGAGGGGAAGGGGGGAGGTAAAAATCGTCAAAAAAGCGTGACGTCATTTATGGATGACCCCTAATGTAAAAAATTACGCTTCGCTCTGACTTATCTAAGATCTCTAGCCATAATTTTGACAACAATAAATGTTTGTCATCATTTATATATACAGAGAGACAAAATGTATTATCCACCAGCTTCCCTTATAAAACATCATCTAAAATAATCAGCCACTCCACCCCTTAAGTGCGTGTTGTCATTATGGTCGATCGCAAGTCTCCACCTGCCAGACACATTTTGGTTATTCTTTGTTGTCAAAATGTCAATATCAAGTACCCAAGTGAGTGATATGGGGTTGTCCATAAATGATGTCACATATGATTTGCTACGGGAGTGAGTGAAGATTTGTGACGTCAACTCAGGCGGCTCCGCAATTTATGACGTTTCGGTCTCATGAAAGGAGGTGAAAAAGTAAAAAAAGTTCCCCTTTCAAACCTGACGGTCTATGGGGCAAGTGAAGTAGAGTTCACTTGTTTCTATGACCTCGGCATATGAAGAGATAGTGTGGTCAGCACTATGCCCAGGAAAGGAGGTGAACGGGTAAAAATACCTAGGTGATTGATGGAGAACCTCTATAATGCTTTGTTCAATCAAAATAACGATAAATAAGCATTAGTATACGTATACCTTGCTTAAAACGAATCATCACAAATGTTGCAAGCCTGCTAGTTTAAGACATTTAGCAAAACGGCATCAACACATTATCCCCGTCAAAAAGGCTTGCCACCAAATGCATGCCGACGAATAAGCCGCGTCTAATGCGGGGCGTTAGGAATACGGCCATTAGCAAGGGCCGCGTTAGAGCACCAGTAGGCTATCGCGCTTTGTAAGATGACGTAAATACTTAAATTCAATTTCGCTAAACTGCGCGAAAATTTAGTAATGTTCCAAGGTTTGAGGAAATTTATTTTCTTGTACTTAAATTGAAATATCATGTTGACTGTCTGGCTCTTAATTTCCGAATATCACTTTTAATGTATCAAGATTCAGAACTATAATTTACTTTAATATAAGTGTCATCTTATCGTTTATTGTGCTTTTTATAAAGCGCAGAGCAGCTTCAAAATCGGACGGCCATCCTGTTTTCACCAAGCTTCTTTTGGAGCTTAATATGGGTAGTCTAGTTTTATACGGTGAGAGCTTAATACATTTTTAAAGGGCCGAAAGTCTCAAGACAGCAAGCTTGCAGAAATAACTACGTACGTTTAAATGGACGAGTGATAGATGTGTTAGCAGTGTTTCTTCCAGACTTTTTTCTCCGGAGGGGGGGGGGGCACTTGAAATTTTCGGGGGGGGGGGGGGCGGTAGACTTTCCTCGGGGGGGGGGGGGCGAACACTGTTAAAAGTATATATTTTCTATATAAATTATATAAATTTCATTTCGTTCGGGGGGCGGTAAAAATTTTTCGGGAGGGCAAAGCCCCCCCCCCCCCCCCGAAGAGATGCCTGGAAGAAACTCTGTGTGTTAGGGGCTGTTTAATGAACACCAACTTATGTAATCAAATTAAACGTCGCAAAAGCGTCAAAAAGGCAGTGCTTGTTTTTTTTCTGTAAAATTAGCCTAACGGTCGGCGGTACCGGTACATGACGTCACGTGTGAGCGTTAACTCGGTGACGATGTGCTAAGTGGGGGAATGAAAAGGTGGGGTTCGAGAAATGAGACTCACATGCTTTTTACATTTCTTGACCCTTCTTAATAGTTCTATCGTCCCCACTGAGAAAATGGATCACCAATGAAAGACGCGTCTCCAAAATCACAACGCTGAGTTCTACTCAACCTCTCCCCACCACAAATCACAATTTCTATCTGAAACAATATGTTCATATGTTTGCTCTGTAATAATGCACGCTGTCATTACTATCTTAAGAGCGACGTCATTTATAAGCGATCTAATATTGATTTGCTTACTGCAAATAAAGTGTTCAAAAGTTCGACCTCCCAACAATTGTTATGGTCTTGGATGCACACTATTAAGTCTAAAAAGGTTTATTAGTCATTCATGTCAACTATATTAAAAAAAAATTACTATACAGGGGGTCATCCATTAATGACGTCACGCTTTTTTGATGATTTTTACCCCCCCCCCCCCCTCAAAATTGCAGTTGAATTGTTTTTAAACAGCTGTATTTTTCCAAAATCTTGTCTGAACTCTGTCAAAATAGAGTATTTTAATCAATTGTTATTACAATGTATTAAAACAGTTTTCTAAAACGCAAAATAACGTCTAAAATTCGTTTTCTAACATTGCTTTTTTAAAATGCAAAAGTGTGACGTCGCACCACCTGAACCCCCCCCCCTCCCCCTCATCACACAACGTCACAAAATTACGGACCCCCCCTCCCCCCTACGAGTGTGACGTCATTTATGGACGACCCCCAGGCATATATTAAAACAATACAAAACAATCATATTAAACCACAAAATCAACACAAAAGACATGCGAATAGACAATTTATTGTTTTTGAAACATGGCCGCTGCTTGTATTTACTCATTGTTGTCTCGAACGGGGTAGTTTAAAGTTAATTCCAGGATATTTATGACTGGTTTGGTCTTGGATTGTGATTTGTTATTCAATTATCTGTTATATTATGTAAAATATGACATAAATATGGCCAAATGAAAGAAATATTCATTAGTTACCTTCATCGCACATTACTAGCTACGTTGGAATTTACGACGCTATACTAAGATTTTACCCAATGTAACATTAACAAAAATGACATCTTTGTGAAAGCTGCGAGTTAGCAGGGAACTTCTCATGTCGTCGTGTCTTGCCAGTATCACGTCTAGCTGGTGCCAATGCTCAGACCTTGGATGTCTGCAAGTCACACTGTGCTTAGGCTTGGTCTTAAAGAAAGTATTGCGCAGGTTAGGCCTGTTTCTGTTTTTATTCAAGCTGGCAAGTCTGATCACATCTGGTATTGAAGTTTCCCAAACTTCAGTGGCGTAGCCAGGATCGTCTCAAGGGGGGGGGGGGGGTTCCAATTTTT